AAAAAAAAGAAGAAGAAGAAAGGCCTGGTAACTTACTAAAAAATCAGCCATTGACAAACCCTGTGGAGCACAACTGTACTCTGATACACGTGGGGTTGCTGTGAGTTGGAATTAACTCAAAGGTAACTGGTTTTGGTTGATACACAATCTTTCTACACCACATGACTAGTCTTAATATTAAAACCAATGTCCTTTAAAAAAATAACCTTAGGATATCAAACAGGTGTGGGAATATAATCCAAGGGGGCTTGTGATCCACATTTTTTCAGAACCAATATGGCTTTGAGAAAAAGGAAGGGAGAGCAAACAAAATTTATTGTGTAACCAGGCAATGTACTAATTCAAGAAACTACTACTTGTTGAGTTCTGGTAGAGTATTAAAAGAAGAATATGGATAAAAAACATTCAAAAAGACTATTAGATAGTCATCCTTATTTTAATTGCATGTCTCTATGAGGCCAGATTATCATTTGACTGTGATTATCCTAATAATTAGACATATTTGGATTCATCATTTTCATACCAAAAATATACTAAAGACAATTTAAATTTTTTTTTCAGAAATTCCTACTTATCTAGTGGGCATGATTAGGTGATAATCAATAAATAAGTTGAGCTATCCATAAACCAGAAGTGGATATTTTAGATTTTCAGAACTTTCTATTCATTGTTATCTTAGGATAATGGCTCTCAAACTTTTTGGTCTCAGGATTCCTTTAATTCTTAAAAATTATTGAAACCCCCAAAGAGCTTATGTTTACATGGGTTATATCTATCAGTATTTGTGGTATAAGAAATTAAAATAAAAAATTTAATTCTGTTTTTGAATGATTATTGTTAAAAATAACAATAAACCCATTATCTATTAACATATATTTATGAAAATAAATAAAATAACTATATTTTCCTCCATAATATGTAGTGGAGTGGCATTTTTTTAACATGTGTATATTTAATATCTGGCTTGATTGAAGATGGTTCGATTCTCATATCCACTTCTGTGTTAAACCTGAGTTATGTGTTGTTTTAGATAAACTATATGAAGAAAATATGGCCTTACACAGACAGGTTGTTGGAAAAAAAAGGGGACTATTTAATAGACTTTCCATATGTCTTTTGTCGATACTCTTCTTTTGATATTATACCAGAATTTGACAGGTACTAGTTTCTTAGAAGGAACTCTGGTAGCATAGTGCCTAAAGCACTTGACTGCTAACCAGAAGGCTGG